TAAATTAGCATGTGTCTTGCTAAGACTCATTTTCTGCCATATTTTACCAAAACAGTCCTTCATTTTTGCATATGGCCTTTTCTTTTTTCTGTTTATAGTCTGAATTCATATCTCAGTTGTAAATTATGCCATTTTGGTATTAAAAAATTCTAAAAAATGATGTCTGAGTAATATGTCACATATGGTATATGACTAAACTTATAAAGAGTTAAATATAAAAATATATTTTTACAGCTCAGATAACACTTAGGGAACACTGGCCAGTGACTGTCTTGCTGTGTGGGTCCTGAGATGAGGCCTATTGGATCTCAGGATCAACATGACCCTCCTTTTTGATACCAGCTCTTGAATCACTTGTGCACTGTGCTCGGGTTGTTACACTGAGGAGCAACATATCTGTCCTGTAGGTCGGTCCCTTTCTCATCCTCTTCAAATAAGTGAGAACTTGTTGACACCTTATATCATAGGAGCTTATGGAAGTACACTCACAGGAGAGTTTCACCTCATCACACTCTTCCAATAAGGATTCATCCAGGAGGCTACACCTCAATTTGTTGGCTATGTCCTTTCAAAGTCATAAGTGGGAAGAAAGTCAGTAAATACCATCTACCTTCAGTCTTTGCCAAAGTAACTGGGTGTTTCTAAAGCAAGCACCATCCTTTCCTCAAGATTACTTCCCAAATGAGAAGGGGGGCGGACAAGAACTCTATAGTCTGCTTTATTGGCATTTACAATGCTTCTTCCTTCACCATGCCTGCAACAGAGTGTATGGGTTGCTCTTTTATCCTTTCATGTCTTTCTTCTAGTCTAGCCTGAGATTCAGTCTGTTTGGCAGCAAGATTTACCTTCCCTCATTTTGAAAGAAACCATCTATTCTTCCAGGATTGGCACATGATGTTATCTAGAAATGACAGGGATTTAGCAAATCTTCCCGTTTCATAAAACTTTGCTTTCTTCAAGCTAATGCTTTGCCTTGAGCTCAAATACCTGCTATCTCTAACTGGGGAACCCTGATGGAGAGGCCCTCCTAAATAAGGAAATGGGAGTTATCAAAGAAGTATATTTAAGGAGGGGGGGAGTCAAACTAAATACTATTTGCAAAATATTATCTTTGTTATCTTTGTTATAACCTGTACAGAAAGACAATAATTCAGATCACCCCATTCAAAACTTCTGCTTAGAGTCCTGAAGTGATTTTGATAGACCAGAAAATCTTATAATAAAAATAATAGAACTTATATAATAAATGATATGTGATGAAATAAATTTCTAATTTAAGGACTATATTAATATCAAAATTTAATGCAACCACAAACACACCAAAAAACACTAACACAAACATACATTCACACAAAATAATCATAAGTTTAATCACAAATCAAATACAGGAACAACTGCAAATGTGTTTTACTATTAATGTCATATCTGTTCTCTTTATTGAATATGCGGGTAAGAGATGAGTAACTGGTTTTAACTCACAGACCACAACTGATTTGCTAGTAATTTCTGTGAGGAGTTCCACATAGAGAAAGTTTATTGTAAAGAGTATCCTTGTTTATGTTAACCATAAGTAGGGTGTGGTGTGACTGTCATACCTCGTTGTCACTGGCACAACTGAGCTAAGTTTGACCTAGATTGTGAATATCCTCATCATTTTAAAAGATTTATTTATTTATGCATACAAGAACTGGGGTACAGTCTAGAGGTGTGGGGGATGAGACGATTCACCAGAGACAGACTAGGGAACAAAACATGCAGACCAACTGAAATACATTGCTGAAGGGAGCAGCGGGTGAGTCAGGAGAGGTCTGCTGCAATCTGGCCAGCAGGGAATTGAACTCCTGCTACAGAGGCTGCAGATCGCTTCATAGTGCTGTGCTTAACCCCTTGCACCACCAGGGAGGCCCTATCCTCTCTTTCTAATTCTAAAAATCCACTTCCCATGCTGCACTTAAATTTCTCATAACATATATTAATAAAACATTTTCTTGGTAGCCTCCCTGGTAGCACAGGGGTTAAGCACAACACTGTGAAGCAATCTGCAGCCTCTGCAGCACGAGTTTAATCCCCAGCTGGCCAGGGAGCTACCCACATGGTGCAGCAGACCTCTCGTGTCAGCAGTGTATTTCACTCAATCCATCTATTCTGTTCTCCACTATGTCTCTGGTGAATCCTCTCACCCCCCTGCACTTCTGGCCTGTACCCCAGTTCTTCTATGCAAAAATAAATAAATATTGAAAAAAAAACATTTTCTTTCCCCAGACTCATTTGCAAATTACCATGTATTTGTGATCTGTTTGAATTCATTCAGAGTTCATTCTTTAAGTTATAGAAATTTGCTGCTTCAAACATACAGTATCCCAAAATCTACTCTTACTCAGTAAGAGTAACGCATTGTTACTCATAAACTCTCTAACTCATCGTTAGGGCACCAATCTGCAAATGCTGGTTATTCAGAGTTTGCTTACCTTTTAATGCAAATAAATTCTCCTAAGACCTTCTTCAAAATAACTTTTGATTTTTGGTTTTTGATTTCAAGGGTTTTTTCTATGTGATAGAGAAATGGTATAGTCTTTCCCGTTTGTTAAATATTTATTGAATGACTAATATAGGACAGGCACTGTACACTTAAGTGAATGGAACGTGGAAATCCTCCAAATTTATATAACCATACTCTCCTCTATCATGTGTTTATTTCCTTCTAGCAAACATCCTCCCTAGGATGAAGGATCTAAAGTGCTTCCCAGTGTACCTGATCTGGGAAGTTTAGAATTTTAGCATTTCTGCTCAGTTTAAAAAGATATACTTGAAGATTTTTTTTGCAATCACCACCACAATAGAAAAACAGTAGCCTATCTGTGCTATTCCTATATCACTTAATGTGACAGTGACCTCTAATTTTAAGAAGCATATTATTTACCAAAACCACAAGATATGGACATAACAGCATATGATAAAAGAAGAGAGAAGAAAGCCAGACTCAAACATGGAGTTTCATGGCCCATAAAGGGAAACCAATATCTAGGTATTATAGCAAGCAAACAAAAACTTGCAAATCATTTGATGTAGTTTTTCAACATATTTCACATTTACGTGAAATCAAGCAAGATCTATCGGAGAAAGCAACACAATATAATGAGATATGTCATTTTGATCAAATCTTGTAGAAAGTAAATTAGAAAAAAAAAAAGAAAGGGAGAAACGCCATATGTGAAGTTGACACTGGTGATACAAAACAAATGTTTTACTTCCACCCACAGGTGGAAAAGAATAGTGGCTACATCATTAAAGTATTTTCTTTTTCAACACCTGCAAAGCTTCATGTCTAAGTTGGAGTCAAAATAGTGTGTTAGGCACGTCCAGCTTTCACAGACAAAGATTATTTAGTATGGCTGAACAGATGTACTACCTATGATGATAGTGGAGCTCAATGCTGCAAAAAGTTTACAGTATAACAAACTTTTGTTTGTAATAGGTGCAATAAATCCATAAACTTGTTCTCAAAGGGATAATGCTGCTTCAAAAATTTGCTTGACTTAGTGAATAGCATTTTATCCCTTTGATTTGAAATTTTAATAGACCTGTGAAATTTAATATTATTATTCATTATAATAAATGCTGATGACTTGTCCAATTAGAAGAGGTTGTTAAAACCAAAATGAGACAGTTGTATTAAAAATTTGACTAGCTTTGATCACTTGAAATAATTTGATAACATTTGTAACATAGCACCATGAATGATAAATGATGTATACAATGTAAAAGGATACATTACATAAGCATTCTAATAAGCATGAAATTTAAGATAAGGTAACAATGGAAAAGGCACAAGAAGAGACACTGCCAAAGATAGAGGTCTCCTGATAGTTTATAAAGAGGATATGATTTTGAAATTCATGTGATTGCTATACATAGTATTTTCCTAGAGTTTCAGCATTGTTCCTTATGAAATCTTTTCCAATATATGAAACATTGGTACTGGAAATAAGATGCAATTAAATGGAGGCACTAAGACACTAAAGTACAAAGCATTTAAGTATTAATAAAACACATGAATAAATATTTTAAAACAACTAAAATAAAATGTTACAAACTTGTAAGTAGTTTTAAAGATATAAACAGCACTCCATTTTTAATTAATATATTTAACAATTTATAGCTTAAAGAGGACTTTCAAATTTTTTACAAAAACTTTAAAAGTAGGGCCTCCCCTGGTGGTGCAGTGGTTGAGCACTGGGCTGCGAGGCTGCCCACAGCCTCTGCAGTGCCAGTTCGTTCCCCGGCCGCCGGCGAGGGTCCCACAAAAAAATAAATAAATAAATAAACAAAAAAAACCTTTAAAAGTAAGTATGCTTATTGCTTTGTATGTTAAATAACGTTCCTAAACAACATACACCCAAAATATCCCTATTCTCTCCAAAGTATACTGCTCTGTAAACCTTCATTTTCTTCCTTTTAAATGCTCTGATTTATATACTTTTGTTTGTTTTTAGATTTTATGACAAACAAAAATTAGAGATCAGCTACAAGGCTAGCTTTACAACTTGTGTTTTACCTGCATTCAAAGTAGAAACAATTACTTTTAACTATTCTCAGACTCCTATAAAAACATGAAATTCAAAAGTATTAGTGACAACAAGTTTCATCCTAGTCAAACAATTCTGTGACACCAATAAAGCAGGTATTGATATAGATAATGAAACTGAAGCCTATATAGATTAAATCATATCCCAGGTCTTCAGTCAGGTGTTGGCAGAGACAGGCCTAAACATATCATTTTGTTTGTTTTGATTTTCTAGTAAAGTGAAAATGTATTGTAAATAAATACAAACCTACAGGTACAACAGGCAATCTCACAGACATTCTCGGGTCAGAAATAATAGCCTGGGTCACATGAGTACTTTGATTGAAAATTTAGAACATACACTTATTCTTTGTCAATCAATGACTTTCAGTGCCTCCATTTTTCTCTTTCTTGCAGGTATATATGATCTCTCACATTCAAGCTATTATTTCTTCTCTAAAGTGTCCTTAGAGAGGACCAAAAGTTTCCATTTGTAAGTTATAAATGTTATTTTTATTAATATTACCAAATGCATCAATATTGTCATCACAATTTAGCAAATTTTTATAATAACTTATCACAATTCTTCTGTTTAATTTATTATGAACACTGTGAGACTTTGGATATTATGTAGTGTTCTCAGAGGGCCAATTTTAATTTATCCTATATATAAAATTTTGGAGTCATATCCTATAACTCTTCTGAAAACATCCAAGTTCTGAAGTCAGGTCCACCATTCATATGAACTTGCACAAGTTACCTGACTATCTGTGGTTCGGATTCCACATTTGTAAAAAATCATTAATTAGGAGAGTCAAATTAGTAAATAGAATTTTGAATATGGTATGATCCATAATTATCCTACAGTACACATTGTTGCTCTTACTCTGCCATTATCTTTTTAATTGAATTTTATTTTAATACCTCAAAACTCTCCAGCCCCTACTAATTTCCTCCATTCTTATCACTGGACATTTCCTTGCCTGAATAATGCGCCAGCTTTAACTTATAGTTGAAGGAGACTGTCAAGGTTTTGAAACATTTTTTTTAAGGATTTATTTATTTATGCATATAGGAATTAGGGTACAGGCCAGATGTGTGGGGGCATGAGAGGATTCACCAGAGACAGAGTGGGGAACAGAACAGGCAGATTGACTGAAATACATTGCTGAGGGGAGCAGCGGGTGAGTTAGGAGAGGTCTGCTGGGCCATGTGAATAGCTCCCTGGTTGGGAATCGAACTTGTGCTGCAGTGGCTGTGTGAAGCTTCACAGGTTGCGTCTTAACTCTTTGCGCCACCAGGGAGGACCCAAAAACATTATTTTTTTGTGACAATATTGTCATTGTATGTAATAGCTTACTGAAATAGACATGTGCACCAGCTTATATTTAGGAATTCACTTGTAAAAGATCAATGTATATATTCCCTTGTTTTTTATAGAAGTCTTGATAAAGTAAATTGTTTATATATCAGATTATATTTATCAATTTGAGTTTTATAAAGATTTGTATCTTGGCCAAGCACAAGATTCTAGCTTGGATTTTTCTAAAATTATACACAAAGTCCTCATAAAAGAATTCTATTCCCACAAATGTATTTCCACATGACAAAGACTATGAATACCGTTGTATGTTATACATTAATAATGTTGCGTAATTCATGATCTTTTAAATATCTTCTCCATACACATGGTATTGCACCTACAAATTCTCATTTAAAATTTACTCATGGCCCCCCAGGAGGAGACCAGCACCAGCACACAGCCCCGGCCGCCCGGCTGCTTGAAACTGACAGATGACTGCTGGAAGAACCAGAGGGGAACAGAGAAGCCCACCCAAGATGCCGGCCAGTCCCAACAACACAGTGTCCCAACGCATACGGCAAATTAGAAAACAGACAGTAGGGAGGAGAAGAACCACACGCAACCTAGCAACTCTCCAGAGAAAAAGCACACCACAAAAAGAAAGCCAGCCCCCAGATTGCAAAGAGAAAAACTTGGAAGAATTTCTGAGCCTTCCAGAAAGAGAATTTAAAATTGCCGTGATTAAAAAACTGACAGATGTCATAAAGGAAAACAATGATAAGGGAAAAATAATCAACGATCAGAAGAATGCAATTGAGTCCCTAGAGAGGGAAAACAATGGTCAGAAGAAAGAAATTGAGTCCCTAAAGAGGGAAGTAAAAGAAATGCAGGAGATCAAAGAATTAATGGAAGAACTAAAGAATTCTGGGAAAAGCAATGAAAGCAGAATAGATGAAATGGAAGAACGAATAAGTAATCTTGAAGACACAGAAATAAAAAGAACCAAAACAGAAAAGGAAAGAGAAGTACGAAGGAAAAAGAACGAAGAAAGATTTCGGGAACTATCTGAATCCATGAGGAAAGGAAATATAAGAGTTATAGGAATACCAGAAGGAGAGGAGAGAGAAGTAGGAACAGAGAAAATATTCAAAGAGATAATTGAAGAGAACTTCCCAAATGTGAAGAAGGAGCTGAAAATTGATATACAAGAAGCAAGAAGAACACCAAACTTCCACGACGAAAGGAAAAATACAGCAAGACACATAATAGTAAAGCTCCCAAGAATCCAGGACAAGGAAAAAATAATGAAGCTGGCAAGAGGGAAGACACAGATAACATTCAAAGGAAAACCAATCAGGCTGACATCAGACTTCTCCGAAGAAACACTACGGGCAAGGAGAGAGTGGAGGGACATAGTCAACAGACTCCAAGAAAACAGATGCCAACCAAGAATACTCTATCCCGCAAAGCTCTCCTTCCTCTTTGAAGAAAGAATATGGACCTTCCCAGACAAACAGAAACTCCGGAATTTCATTGCAACTAAACCCCCACTCCAAAAAATACTACAAGGAGTCCTAAAGCCAGAACCTCAGAGGGACGAATAACAATGAAAGAAGGCCAAAAAAAAAGAATAAATAAATAAAATCAAAGGAAAGACAAACACAATGGCAAATACAGATGTTAACATATCAATATTAACTCTAAATGTAAATGGACTAAACTCTTCAATAAAAAGACACAGAGTGGCAGCCTGGATTAAGAAACAAAACCCAACCTTTTGCTGTCTCCAGGAAACACATTTAGCTACAAAAGATAAAAATAGGCTCAAAGTTAAAGGATGGAAAACAATCCTACAAGCAAATGGACCAAAAAAGAAAGCAGGAACAGCTATACTTATATCAGATAAAACAGATTTCAAACTCAAAAAGATAAAAAGAGACCCCAATGGTCACTACATTATGATCAAGGGGACATTACTTCAAGAAGAAATAACACTCATTAACATATACTCACCAAACGAAGGAGCACAAAATATATCAGACAACTGTTGTCCTCTCTGAAAACAGACATCAGAGAAAACACATACGTAGTGGGAGACTTCAACACACCACTATCAACAATGGATAGATCAACAAGACAAAAAATAAGTAAAGAAACCAAAGCTCTAAATAAGGACCTAGAGCAATTAGGCTTAACAGACATCTATAGAACACTAAACCCCAAAAAACGGAGTACACATTTTCTCAAGCGCACACGGATCATTCTCCAGGATCGATCACATACTGGGGCACAAGACAAACATCAACAGATACACCAAGATTGAAATCATATCAACCATCTTTTCTGACCATGAAGGCATCAAACTAGAAATAAACCATAAAAAGAAGGCAAGGAACTTTCCTACCTCATGGAGATTAAAAACCACACTACTGGAAGACCATTGGACTAATGAGGAGATCAAAGAAGAAATTAAAAAATTTTTTGAATTGAACGACAAGGAGGACACTAATATCCTAAATGTATGGGATGCAGCAAAAGCAGTAATAAGAGGAAAATATATAGCAATAGAAGCTCACATCAAGAAACAAGAAAGAACGCAAAGAAACAACCTCATCTCGAAGCTCAAAGATCTAGAAAAAGAACAACAAAAAAACCCCAAAACCAGTAGAAGAAAAGAAATAATAAAAACCAAAGCAGAAATAAATGAAATTGAAACTAAAAAACAATCCAAAAGATCAATGAAACCAAGAGCTGGTTTTTTGAAAAAATCAATAAAATAGACAAACCCCTAGCCAGGCTCACAAAGGAAAAAAGGGAGAAAGCACAAATAAACAGGATCATCAATGAAAGAGGAGAAATCACAACGGACACAGCAGAAATCAAAAGAATAATCAGTAACTACTATGAACAGTTATATGGAAACAAGTTTAACAATCTAGAGGAGATGGACAAATTCCTACAACTCTACAATCACCCAAAGCTAGATAAAGAAGAAATAGAACACCTAAACAGACCAATTACAATTAGCGAAATTGAAATGGTAATAAAAAACCTCCCCAAAACAAAAGCCCAGGACCTGATGGATTTACAAATGAATTCTACCAAACATTCAGAGATGAATTAGTGCCTATCCTTCACAAACTCTTCCAAAAAATTGAGAAGGAAGGGACAATACCAAACACGTTTTATGAAGCCAACATTACACTAATACCAAAACCGAACAAGGACAACACAAAAAAGGAAAACTATAGGCCAATCTCCCTAATGAACACTGATGCAAAAATCCTCAATAAAATTTTAGCTATCAGAATCCAACAATGTATCCATAAGATAATTCACCACGACCAAGTTGGATTCATTCCAGGGGCACAAGGATGGTTTAACATCCGAAAATCAATCAACGTTATCCAACACATCAACAAAAAGAAATATAAAAACCATATGATAATATCAATAGATGCTGAGAAAGCTTTCGACAAAGTGCAACACCCATTCATGATAAAAGCCCTTGAAATTCTGGGGATACAAGGAACATACCTCAACATCATAAAGGCCATCTATGACAAGCCAACAGCCAGTATCATTCTCAATGGTGAAAAGCTGAAAGCAATTCCATTAAGATCTGGAACAAGACAGGATGTCCACTCTCACCATTGCTTTTCAATATAATACTGGAAGTCCTAGCCAGGGCAATAAGACAAGAGAAAGACATCCAAGGAATCCAAATAGGAAAAGAAGAAGTCAAACTATCACTATTTGCAGACGATATGATATTATACATAGAGAACCCCAAAAACTCCACAGAAAAGCTAATTCAACTCATCAATCAGTTCAGTAAAGTGGCAGGATACAAAATCAACACGCAAAAGTCAGTAGCCTTCCTATACACAAACAATAAATCTGAAGAAGAAGAAATCAAAAAGACCATCCCTTTTGTTATTGAAACAAAAAAAATCAAATATTTGGGAATAAATCTAACAAAAGAGGTAAAGGACCTATACAAAGAAAACTATAAAACACTGTTAAAAGAAATAGAAGAAGACACAAAGAAATGGAGAGACATCCCCTGCTCATGGATTGGAAGAATAAACATTATTAAAATGGCCATCCTACCAAAAGCAATATACAGATTCAATGCTATTCCAATCAAAATTTCAATGTCATTCTTCAAAGAAATAGAACAATTACTG